ATAGTGCCTATGGTTTTTCAATTTTATGATATGGAAATGTATGGAAATACGGGACTGGAAGCGTTTGCAGATTCCCAAGTGACTGAGCTGAGGCAATGAGAACAGAGATAAAAGCCTGGGTCATAATGCTTAAATGGCCAAGAAGCTTCCTACATCCCCGTGAGATCTCTGATGTCTTATCTTTCTAGGATCAGTTCCCTCAGTGGAATAATAGATCTTGAGGTGAAGAAGGCACATGTCCAACATTTCGGGTTTTTTGTCAAGCCAAGGGCATTGAGACAGAATAAACATTGGCGATTTTGGAGCAGTTTGGGTGCTGATCATGTGTAAAGGGAAAGTAAGAACACTTAAAGATTAATTTCTAGAGAGGTACCATCCAGAAGGCTGAATAAATGCGTGCAGATAAATATGCTTGTGTGTATCTACAGTTACAGCTGCTTCCCGTTACAGCACAGCCTGTGAGAGATGCTAATGGTAGAGTTCCAAATAGTACTGCGACCATCCAGCTCTTCATCGTTGCTGACGAGGACGTTTTATTAGCCTTCTGACTGCTCTCTTGCCTATCTTAAATGCATTTTTCACGCTGCAATTACAACTCATAGATCTACAACGAAATCAGACCTGGTCCAAAGAGCAGAACCAGCTCGAGTACAGCAAGTAAGAGAGTCCCCCAATACTAGCGCTCATCCAGGATGGCCTTTGGCTTCCTCCGTCTCTTGCGAAGGTTTAAAGTCTGTGCCACCGCAAGCCCTTCAAAGAGCAGGTCGCCTCCTCCTCGCTGGGGTAGGCCCGCGTAGGGGAGCCCGGAGGAATCCGAAGAAGCTCCAGCATCCCAAAGTCGAGGAAGGGCGAGTCCGGGAGACGCGCCGGCGGTGACGCACTTCCGGCGCGCCTCCTGCGGTCCACCGGCCGACCACCGCCTGCCGCTCACCGTTTGAGGTGAGGGCGGAATGAGAGGCTTCGTTGTGGAGCCTGAGGCTGGCAGTTCCCGTGATTCCCTAGGCCTCTGGGAGGTCGTCCCGGGAGGCTGACCCAGGAGGGGTCGGGCGACGGCTTCGCTATCGAGGAGAGAGGGGGGGTTTGCGGGCTGTCCGCCCCTTCCCCCCGCGCTCCTTCACTCGCCGCGGCGGCCACTTCAGGAAATGGGGGCCGAGGCTGTGGGCCGCCGGTGGAAGGTGTGGCCCACTTGGGTGACCGACGTGCCGTAGTTTAGGCTGCTACCCCCACTGAGCGCATGTTAAGTGCAGTGTAGTTCTGGTTCCGGGGATGCAGCACTACGTAAGACAGCCGCAGGGACTTTGAGGCTAACGGGGAAGTGGCTGTTAATTCTGATCATGCTTCTGCCCCTGCTCGTAATATCCCCATTGATTTTGGACAAAAACGCTCTGAATGTTCACGGGCCCTGCTTGGCCTGGTGTCTCGCAGCTTCTTTCAACTCGGTCTTGCCCCACACTCCCTTTGCCCCAGCTACAGGCTTCGTGGCGTGGTACTTGTAAAACATGCACCTTTTGGCCTGGTTAATTCCACTTCTCAAGTCTTCCCTCGACTAGGGCAATCCCCTGCTTGCACTGGCACTGTTGACCTCATCATGGGTTTTCAAACCACCATATACCTAGCACATAACAGATGTTGTAACCTCACACTTAAGTTTTAGTGTAAGTTACACGAGAAGAAGTTTGAATCCCTAGTGCCAACCATATTGCCTGCACACAGTATACCTCGATAAATATTGACTGAAAGGGCAGATATATTTGTAATTGCACTGTAAGGTTATATATACCTAAATAGATAGATAGGTAGATACTTGATATAAGAAAAGTATATATGCCCACCAGATCTCACTTAATTTAGATCTTTCAGGATATGACTTTCAGATTGAGTTCTGAAGCTCTGAAGAGGAGTTAACAGGTTAAAAGGTGGGCAAGTTGGGAAAGGCTGTTAGAGGCAGGGGGAAATAGGCGCTAGGACGGATTTGGGACCCAATAAGCCATTTAATAGTTGCACTATGACATTTCTTTTAATTTGAAAAGTAGTAATGTATTTCTAGTAAGCAGACTGGGGAAATAATTAAAGTGGCACAAAAGAAAAAATCATCAGTAAGACTACCATTCAGAGATAGTTTTCAAGTTTATATCCATCAAGTGGTTTTGTGGATATTTGTAAGCACACACATGATTTTTACGCAATTGAAGGTCGAAATAATGAAATTTTCTCACAGCATTTGAATATTTTCCTATGTTGTGAAATGTCCTACAGCATGGTTTTTAATGTCTACTCTTTTTCTGATTTGTTCCAGATATTTGGATATTTAAGTTTGCATCTTTTTCATACTAGAAGTAACTGTGATGAATGCTTATGAGTAGACATGTCTTTGAACACATCTCAGATAAGTTCCTCAAGTTGGAATTTTTAAAAATTAACTACCTAAGCAAATTTAAACCGTACTACATGTGTGTGGTAAGAAAAAGGATTACTTAAGATTGTATAGTAAAAAAGAAATCTCCCTCTCTATTTGGACCCACAGGTCCATTCTCTGGAGGTAACCACTACTAACAATTTTCTAAATTTGAGCAAATCACACACAACTGAATTGGCATTTTATACTTAACAGTATAGATAGGAATATTTTTAAGTAGATATTTGTTTTGAGGAAAAAATGGAACAGTTTACATTTCTACCAGCAGATACTGGTTTTCTGTATTTTCTTCAGTATAAAACATTATCTTTTTTTTTTTTAAGTTCCCAATTGGATAGAAAGAAAAATTACATTTTATTGTTTTAATTTGCCTTCTTTATACAGTAAAGGGTAAACAGCTTTTGGTGTGTTTGCTGGCCATGTATAGGTGAATTGCCTATCAATATTTTCTAGGATATTTGACTTTTTCTTACTGGTTTTGTAAGGACCTGGGCTGTTTATATTTTTTACATATTTTGTAGAGTTAGTTCCTAGTTTGCTTTTGAGTTTTCCTTAGTCATTTAAACCAGAAGTTTTAAAGTAGTTTAATTTGTCATTTTAAGAGTTTTCTCTTTGTTTCTTTGTCATTTGGCCTGTGATCCTACCACCGTGCTGGAACTGCTTGTGCTAGATGTCTCTGTACCCAAGGATATAGACTTACCTTTATTTTCTTCTAGTGTTTCTTTGATTTTGTTTTTCACACTCAGAATTTTAGTGCATATGTAATTTATTTCAGTGTATGGTAGGAGATAATTCAATTACAGATTTTTTCTTCAGTAGTTAACCAGTTTTTCCAGTGTTGTTCATTGAATAATCTGTCCCTTTTCCCTACTGATTTGGAATGCCATCTTTCTGATTTACTTTTATGCTTTAGTCTTTCCTGGATCTTAGATTCTGTTTTATTGTTCTAGCAGTTTGTTCTTGTACGAGTGTACCTTTTTCGTTATACATTTTGCATCTGGTATTGCAAGTTTTTTCTTTCCTATTTTCCATTTTTATTTATATTTTAGTGACTATTTTGACTGTTCTGTATCAACTTTGGAATCACTTTATCAGACTTCTAAATAAGTGCTGTTCATAATTTGCTTGAAAGTAATATTGGTTAGCTGCCTACAAGTATGGCTCTTGGAATCTGACAAACTTGAAATCCAAGTTTGGCCTAAAATCCAGGTTTGATTCTCCGTTCTTTGTGTGAACATGGTGAAGTTAATCTTGTAGCTTTTGTTTATCCATCTGTTTGGAGGGGGGTGGGAACCCAAAACCTAAATCTCTTTTATTTTTATTTATTTTTTTGAAGCTTTTATTTGTTTATTTGACAGAGAGAGATACAGTGAGAGAGGAAGCACAAGCAGGGGGAGTGGGAGAGGGAGAAGCAGGCTTCCCACCAAGCAGAGAGCCTGATGCGAGGCTTGATCCCAGAACCCAGGGATCATGATCTGAGCTGAAGGCAGACTCTTAACAACTAAGCCACCCAGACACCACCCTAAATCTCTTTTAAAGGAATGTGAGGAGTAGATGAGAAGATGTGTATAAAGCATTGTAGTGTGGTGCTGAGCATACACAAGCTCTTTGTAAAAGGAAGTTATTACTAAATATGTAGATTAGTTTGAAGGAAAGTCAGCATTTACAAGAAGTTTAACATTGATTGTTTCAATCCAGGAACATGTTTTGCCTTTTCATTTATATTTGTCAATAATATTTTATATAATTTTCTTTACATAAATTTGTTATATTTCTTACTAAGTTTATTCCTGGGTTCTTTTTTTTTTTTTTTAGATTTTAAACAAGCTGTTACATTTTATTTGATTTTATTTATTTATTTATTTGACAGACAGAGATCACAAGTAGGCAGAGAGGCAGGCAGAGAGAGAGGAGGAAGCAGGCTCCCTGCTGAGCAGAGAGCCCGATGCGGGACTCGATCCCAGGACCCTGGGATCATGACCTGAGCTGAAGGCAGAGGCTTTAACCCACTGAGCCACTCAGGCGCCCCACAAGCTGTTACATTTTAAAATGTGTTTAGGTACATGCTAAAAATTTGAACAGTTCAAAAGGTATGGAGTGAAAAGAAAGTCTGTTTTCTGTCCTGGATTCCAATTTCCCAATCTTCCTACACCAGAAGCAGCTTCTGTTGCCAGTTTCTCACATAGATTCCCTGGGTTCTTTTTTCAATGTTTGCTTTGTTTTGCTTTTGTTTATTTATATTTTTGCCCTGCTGTATTGTTTTTACCGAGGAGAGAGAGCATTACCTAGTGGTTATGAATACAGCTCTTGTGGCCTAAAATAATTACTTAAACTTTCTAAGTCTCCTTTCTTTGTTTTGGTAAATGAGAACAATGGTTTTACATATCCGCTAGTATTATAATGAATATAAAGTGTTGAGTTCTGAAGCTGGCACATTGCAAGCCTAGAGAGAATGTCAGTTGTTATTAGCAGCTAATATAGGTTTGCTCGTTTAAAGGAAGGTCACTGACTGGGCCAGGCTCACTCTTGGTTCTCTTTGCTTCTTCCCTCAGCCCCTGCCCTTCATTGAGAGGGAGCCAAGGTGATGGCAGCCATGTCCCTGAACGCCTGGCACCAGGTGAGCTGTGACTGCCTCAGATCCATCAAGAAATCTTATTTGAAGGAAATGGGAAATAAGAGGAGTGATCTGGGCAGAAATGTTAGAGCCAAAGCAGCAGGAAGGCCCCGCTTCATCCCCACAGCGTGACTGGACAGTGACAGATTGAGCAGCCAGAGACCCCAGCGTCCAGGAAACAATGGCTGGAGACGGCTAGAGAGAGTGAGGAATCAGAAGTACAGCCTCTGAGGATCTCTGCTGAGCTGGAGAGCTCCCGGGTTCAGTAGGGACCCCGACACAGGGATCCATGAGATAAGAGACTTAGACTGGTGGTGGAGGTATCCAGCGTTCAGTAGGAGTATTCAAGATCAAGGTGGCAAGATTCTTGGGAGGTGGGATCAGAGGGATGGTAGGAGAAACAAAAGAAAAAGGGAGCCTATAGCGTTTGTCCTCCCAAAAGAGAGCAAAGTTAGAGGCTCGGGATCAGTGAGGAAAGAATTGGTTCCAGAAAGGGCACATGAATGTCTGTCTTGAGAGTCAGTACTTCTGGTTGAGGCCAGCAGCATGCGGCAATATGAAATGTGGTACTAGGTGACAGGAAATTTAATTTCAGAGGAGATCTCCATCAGCCCTCAGGGGCACTGTGACTTTGAGCTAGTCACCTAACCTCTTTGTGCCTCAGTCGGCCTCATCTGTCAGATGGCAACAGTGCTGCTCATTCCAGGTTAGGAGAAAGATTCTGCCAGGTGCCTTTCAGCTCTGCAGTTTGCTGGGTTGTTGAGTGCTGCTTGATGGGCTCAGTCTTCTTCAGGCTTCTTCATGTCGCATCTCGCCATCCATGATCCTATCCCAAGTACCATTCCCAGATCATCCATTATCTGGGTTCCTTTCCATTAGTATGGCTTTGCCTGGAAGCCTGATCTCGATGCATCAGTTTATTGTACCCATTGTACCTACCACTTCTCCTGCACTTCCTGATAATTGCTAGTTTCCCCATGCTACTATCCATGGTCACTGTTTTCAGATTTTTATCATTGACTCTTCACTCTCCTTTGTCACCTTGTTCATTCAATCCAAGTTCTTTTGTTCCTATCTCAGCACCCATTTGTCCCTTCTTTGGCTTTCCTGATTTTTTTGAAGATTTTATTTATTTATTTTTGAGAGAGGCAGAGAAAGCAGGAGTGGGGGGAGGGGCAGAAGGAGAGGGAGAGTGACAAATAGACTGCCTGCTGAGGAAGGAACCTGACACAGGGCTCAGTCCCAGGACCCTGAGATCATGACCTGAGCTGAAGTCTGACATTTAACTGACTGAGCCACCCAGGAGCCCCTGGCTTTCCTGATTTTATCATCCCTTTCCTGGATATTGTCAGCAGAGCCTCTCAGTAATTTCGTTTGTCTTCAATCTTGGGCCATCCTGTCCTCTAACATTTATTGCCTTTAAAACTCAGGCTCAGGTTCTTGAATTTGAGTTTGTTGTTGTATGGTGATCCATCTAAGTGCATTAGCTCACAGAGTTGAGGTGTCAGATTCGCATTTTATAAAGATCTTTCTATGTGCTGGACAAAGGTGGACTTGGAGGATAAGCCTGGAGTCAGGGATCGTAAGTCGCCATGGTCCAAAGTACAGTTGCTGAGGAGTTATGGGTGATTCATGATGTTGCATAGGAGTCAGATTCAAGAAATATTTAGGAGAGAGAATAGTCAGGATTTGATTACTGATTGCTTGTTAGAACTAAGCAGTGACTAGGGAGATAGTTGAGAATGATTCTCAGGTTCCCATCTAAGGGGACCAGGCTGAAAGTGTTGCTACTGGCTGAGACAGGAAACCAAAATAATGACCAGCATCAGATGTGAGCACTTACCATTTGTTTCTCCTTGTACTGAGCAGGATTAGAAGCACTTTAAGGGAGAGCGACGGGTTCAGAATTGGACATGTCAGAAATATAACTGGCATGTGGGTCATTGACATCTGAGGCAGGCATGTGACTGATGATGCCGGGACCACATGAGACCTTGGAGTGAGGATCATGTTCACATGGGGAAGGCACCAAGGAGACAAGAAGGACCACATCATTGTGCTGTCTGGGAAAGAAGAGTTTGGGCTGGCAGGCTGTTTGATTGGCAGAGGACAGCTTATCTGAGAGGTATAGAGACAGCCAAGGAGCCACCCAGCAGCAGTTAGAATCAGGAAGCATTTTGTCCTAGGAAGACTGCCTGGAGTTAAAGAGGCTCTCCCAACACCAGAGTTCTTTCTGAGGGAGGGGCTCAAGCAGAGGCAGCATAGCCCCCTTTTGTGAGAGTGGAAGGGTGGATGGCACAGCAGGGTTCTGTATCAGGTGAGGGCTTCAGAGGGTGGGGCCCCTTTGGACAAACCATGAATATTATCAGTAGGTGGCTGTAAGGATTGGGGTAGGCAGGTAGATGCGGACATATAGCAGGGCTTGGTGTAAGTGCAGGGAGCAGGATGGGTAGGCTGGACTCTGATCAGGAAAGTGGGGACGGCAGCAGAGACATCCCTGGGATGTCACCCATGAGAAGTATAGTTGGAGACCAATCATCTGTTCATAGAGTGTCTGAAAGACCAGAAGGGCATGTGCAAAAATGAAGAGGGTTTACTTCAGGGAGGTGAATTTGTGAAAGATTTTCTCGCTTCCAGTTTTCTATATTGTGACATTGCCTCTTATAATAGTAAGTCTCATGCATAATTAGAAGCTGCTCTGACAGTGAAGGGAGTCTCAGAGTTGCTGGTTGTAGGTGTGGTCATTCATTAGCACTCAGCGCCTTGTCCTTTTACTCTTCATTTCCTATCCATCATGGGACTGTCCCTCAGAAACTCACAATGTCCCCTGTGCTCCACACTCTGGCTCTGAGCCAGATGATTGGCTCTGGGGCAGCAGGAACCTCTTGTTTTAGGAGGCGGTGACTTTCAAGGACGTGGCTGTCTACTTCACCCGGACAGAATGGGCTGGCCTTTCTCTTGCACAGAGAGACCTGTTCAGGGAGGTGATGCTGACAAATTATGGGAACTTGACTTCACCTTTGGGACTCAGATGCCTAGGACGAGGGTAGGGTGGATTGTGGTGTGACTCTCATAACCTTTTACATATTTACAGGGGCAAAAACTGCTATACCCTCAGCCTCAGAAGATGTCAGGAAGGGATGGAGGGAGAAGTCTGAGGTTAGTTTGGGTCTAATGTGGATTGGCCATTCTCTGGTGAGAACACTTCCCACCATACGAGTTCTGTGCAGGGCACCATGGGAAAGAAGTATCTTCTGTTGAAGGTAGTGCCTTCAGTTCTCCCAGTGGTCTAAAGAAGACTTCCCTCATTGCTTTTCTTTGCTTGCATGTATCTCACAGGATTTCACTGACAAACTTTAAGTGATTTTTCATAAAGAGGTCACAAATACTCAGTTTCCTTTTGATCAAAAATCTTGGGTTCCCCATTTTCCAGCCCACTTCTGTGAGCCTTATCCTTACTGAGCTGCTTTGGGGTTTCCTCCTCTGACTGCATACACAGCCTTATGTGGTATCTCAAGAACACTAACATGAGACTCCCTTCCAGTGCCATTTTCTGCTTCCTTTTCAGGATACCCAGTTTGCAGACTTGCCCTGATCTCACTTCTGGAAGGAGGGCATTTGCCTTGGGGTCTGGAGCCATAGGACGATCCCCCTGCAGAGGGTACCAGTGATGTCTCTAAAGGTAGGTGAGGCAGGTTTAGAACCATCAACCATAGTCCTTTGTTAGAGGCGTGTTTTGCCAGTTTTTGAGCACTTGCTGTGTGCTAAAATAGCACTTCCTTGTTTGAGAAGCTCTGGAGGATACCAGTTACGGAGACAGAGTTAGCTAAAAAAGAGTTAAGTACTTTTAAGTACTGTTAGTATATTGTTGGTATATACGCAGCAGGCTATGGGACAAGCAGGAAGGGTTAGACGAATTCCCACCTCGAATATCAGGTGAAACTTCTTCAATGGCAGCCCACATGTTCTGCATGCAGCAGATAAGAACACATTGCAGATGGGTTGGGAGAAGATAATCTGGCTGGAGGAAAGGAATAATATAAGATCCAGTATCATTCCTGGCACAATATAATATCTGGAAAAGGATTAGTGTCTGGAATATATAAACAACTCTGAAAACTCAGCAACAAAAACAAATAAACAACCCAGTTAGGAAATGTGTGAAAGGTATGAACAGACATTTCACCAAAGGGAACACAAATGAAAGCATGCTTGACATCATTAGCCATCAGGGAAATGTAGTTGAAAACCACAGTGAGATATCACTACACCTTGATCATGTATGTCACCATACAATTGTGGAGAGTTTCATAGTTTGATGTGCAGGAGAATTACCTGGGGGTGTATTTTAAAATGGACATTTCGGGTGCCTGGGTGGCTCAGTGGGTTAAGCCTCTGCCTTCGGCTCAGGTCATGATCTCAGGGTCCTGGGATCGAGTCCCGCATCGGGCTCTCTGCTCCGCTGGGAGCCTGCTTCCTCCTCTCTCTCTCTCTCTCTCTTTGCCTGCCTCTCTGCCTACTTGTGATCTCTCTGTCAAATAAATAAATAAAAATCTGTTTAAAATGGACATTTCTGGGGCCAACCTGTGAGCATTCATTGTTCTGTCTTTTTAAGTAAGTGTCCAGGAACATAGGCTTAGGACTGAAAGCCTAAGCAGGACTTCCTTTTGTCTACTTCTGTACAGTTGACATGGTGGCCACTGGTCCTGTGTGCTTATTAAACTCTTAAGCAATTGAAGGGGGGGCTGATTCAAATTGAAATATCCTCTAAGTATAAAATACCAGATTTTGAAGACTTAGTAAAAAAAAAAAAAGTGTAAATGATCTCATTGATAATTTTTATGTTGACTTCATGTTGAAATAATGTTTTAGATTTATTGGGTTAAATAAAATACATTATTAAAATTAGTTCTACCATTTTCATTTTACTTTTTTAATGTGGCTCCCGTAAAAACAAAATTACATATGTAGCTTTTGTTTATGGCTCACATTATATTTCTTTTAAACAGCCCTACTCTACTACAGAGCATATCCTTAAGCCCTCTTATTTAGCCAGCCATGCATAGACATCGTTGGTGTGTCTAGAAAAGCCTAGAACATAGAGGTTGTGGCAGATCTGAAAACCTGAAGACTTCTGTCCTAGGGAACTTATTGCATGGAAATAGGAAATGAGAGAGCTGGCAAAACAACATGGAGCAGGAGGGGGGACCCCTGCCACAGTGACCTTGCCACTAGCGGCATATGACATAAGCCCATGATTGCTATGTTTTAAAAATATTAGCTGGACATCATATATAATTTGATTGGACTATGGGGGATATTAAGGTATAAAATCCTGTTACATTGTTACTATATTGCAGTTAGTAATTTCAGAGGCCTGCATAAAGGTAGGGACAGGGTGATGCAGGGATAGAAAGGATTGTAGAGGTGTCAGGGTAGCACTGATAAAGCTTATCAGTAAACATAAATGAGTCTTGATATGGTGACAAGCACAGTAGAATTATCCCATGAAATTTGAGTTTCTCTGGAACATACAGCTCCCTGGGTATAGCAGGCTCTTGAGAATGCAACTGTGATGTTGGGACAAGGTCAAGGCTGGGATTATACAGGGTGTCAAAGTCTGGAAACCTAGGCAGGCATACATAACAGTGTCAAAGACATTTTCAATCTATTAAAAAATACATCTGCTTCCAGACTTTATGATCACCCTGTATATGTGAGAGTCCTCCAAATCCGTGGTTCTCACTAGGGCCAGCCACTTTTGTTCCCCCAGGGGACATTTGGTAATGTCTGGAGACATTTTTGTTCAGTATACAAAGGAAGGCACTGTGCGGTCTCCTGGGCCTCAAAGCAAACCGTGTTCTCCCCCTTTCTAAGTGGTTGAGCAGTCCAGCAAGTCCCACAACAACACATACTCAGCCATTTCTAACAGTTAGATGTCATATGCACAACTCTTATAGCTCACCAGGTATTGCTTCTTTCTCTTAGATTCTGTGTTTCTTCCTCTGTGAGCATTTTCAAGCATTTAAGTACTATGAAGTCACAAGTTATTGGGGACATACAAGGGACAAACTCAAAATCTCATTTCCTCTTCCACTGCTACTATTTTCTGCCTCTGTGATATTTGGCTCTTCCAGTTTAATAGGTTTCTGTCTCTGGCAGGCTACGTGGAGGTTGGGATAGTAATCTCCAAAGGCTCTATAATTTTAGTGCTCTATTATTTCCAGAATAATTCTTAGGTGGCATATGTCTTCCATTTCTCATGTCTGGAATGTTGCCGAGACCAACATTGACAGTGAGTCCACATCAACTCAGGGAATTTCTGAAGAAAGAGATGTGATGATATCACATGGGCTGCCACAGAGTGTTTCTCCGGAAAGTGACTTTCCAGAGACATGTGAACCAGAGAAACACCAGGAAATCCCCACGGTGAAAAATATTAAAAGAAAGGATGAGAGTATCCTCTGTTCAAGGAAACGCTTCAGATGTGAGGAGTGTGGGAGATGCTTCACCTTTTTTTCTTACTATGTGAGACACCAGAGAATCCACCCTGGGGAGAAACCCTTTGAGTGTAATGAGTGTGGGAAATCCTTTAATGGCAATTCTTCATTAATTCGGCACCAGAGAATCCATACTGGAGAAAAAAACCTATCAGTGTGAGGAATGTGGGCAAGCCTTTAATAGTGCAGATCTGATCAGGCTTCAGAGAGTCCACAGTGGAGACAGGCCCAGTGTCTGCCAGGAGTGTGGAAATGGCTTCCACAGTAGTTCTGAGTTGGTTATACACCAGAGTATCCACACTGGGGAGAAACTTTGAGTTTAATGAGTGTGGAAAAGCTTTCACTGTTAAGTCAACACTAAGTAGGCATCAGAGGATCCACAGTGGAGAGAAACCATATGAGTGTCTCAAAAGTGGGAAAACCTTTGGAACTTCCTCCCAGCTACATCATCATGCGTATGTTCACGCTAGAGAGAGACCTGTCCTGGACGTCGGTTCCTTTGGCCTCCCAGCATTTTTTACCCCCTTTTCATGGCGATTACCCGCCTGCTTTTTTTATTTATTTTTTCTTTGGAAAGCCACTCAGCTCTCACTCAACAGTTGATGTGGTATGTAGGTGAAGCTCACTACCCCACTGTAGGGGTGCAACATGTAGCCTAGTCTAACCCATCTATACTGTTCCTTCCCCTGCCACAGTGTTGGGTTTAGGTGACGAGGCCCATCTAATCAGGTGCTGAACCTACCAGGAAGCAACATTTCATTCTGCTGGACTCGGGTGTTAGCCTTGATCCATCATGAAGGGTGAGAAGAGGCTAGTCCTGCATATAAGAGAGAAATGCAGAGAATCGGATCTACCTCTGGGTGTTTCAGTGACCTGAATCAATAAATTTCAGGTTTTTGCTTAAGTAGTTTTGAGTTGGATTTTCTTTCCTTGGTGATACTGAGCCATTTCAATGTCTCACATGTTTCAAAGCCTTCAGAGTTAACATAAACTTAATTTGGCATCACTAAGTCCAGGGTATGCAGAAACCTTTCATACGTATGGTATGTTGGAAACACTGTAGCTGTGATTCTGATGGTTTGTGCAGAGGCACTCTAGTATGAATGTGGGAAAGCCATTAACTCTCAGTTAAGGCATGTTAACATTCAGGTATCCCAAATGAATGGAAGTTACAGCAATTTAAGCGCTGAAATGAAAATTTCAAGTTACTGTAAGTGCTTTTCTTTGTTTTAAGTAGGGTCCATGCCCAACATAGGACTCGAACTCATGAGCTAAGAAGTCACATGTGCTACTGAATGAGCCAGCCAGGTGTTCCTTCAAGTTACTCAAAAACTAAATCTTGGGGCACCCAGGTGGCTCAGTCTGTTTAGCATCTGTCTTTGGCTCATGATCTCAGGATCCTCGGATCGAGCCCCACATCAGGCTCCCTGCTCAGTGGGAAGCCTGCTTCTCTCTCTCCCTCTGCCGCTCCCCCTCACTTGCTCCCTCCCTCTGTCAAATAAATAAAATCTTTAAGAAACAAAACAAAACAAACAAAAAACTAAATCTCTATCAAGGAATATTCTGTAGGGAAGATGTATGTATTAAATGGAAAGCCTTGTTTACTTTCTACTCAGTTTCTGACAGAAGCGGATGCTGAATTTTTTTTTTAAGATTTTTATTTATTTAACAGACAGAGATCACATGTAGGCAGAGAGGCAGACAGAGACAGAGGAAAGGAAGCAGACTCCCCGCCGAGCAGAGAGCCCAACATGGGGCTCGATCCCAGGACCCCGAGATCATGACCTGAGCTGAAGGCAGAGGCTTTAACCCACTGAGCCACCCAGACGCCCCGGATGCTGAATTTTTAATCTTATTTTAGATCTTACCGGATGTTTCCTTTTTGACCTATCTATAGTTAATTATACTAGTGTTTTCCTAATGTTTAGTCATATTTATATTCTCATAATCCTAGTTGGATATGGTAGTACACGTTTCTTTATATCTTGCTGGATAGTATTTGTTAGTATATTTAGGATCTTGTCATCTATATTCATATGTGTGATTGCCCTGTAATTTTTTTTCCATCTTTGTCAAGATTGGGAACTGAGTTATATGAGAGTGCTAGAAATAGCTAGGAGCTCTTCTTTTTCTGTACATTAGAACAGTCTCAAAAGCCTAGCAATTATCTGTTCCCTGGAAATTTGGAGAAAAGTCCACCTAATAATGCTGGCTGGGCCAGCCGCTTTAGTTGGGGGTAGCGTAGAGGACAAGAGATCTTTGATTACTTTATCAGTTCCTTCTATGGCATTGATCCAATTACACTATTTCTTCTTGAACCAATGTTGGTAATTTATAATTTCTTACTGACATTTACAAATCATTAGTCCTGCCTTTTACCCAGACTATCCTATTTTTTTAAATATTTTCAATATATGTTCCTTAGCATTCCTAAATCTGTTGGTCAACAAAATCTGTATGAAGAGTTTTTATTACTCATACATTTGCATGCAAAAGCTTGACATTCATCCTTATAATGCCTGGAATAACATGGCTGCCATGACCTTTGATTTGGCTAGGGGACTCTAATAACCGAGGAAATGGCCTTGGTTATCCATCTACAGCAGGGTTCCTCAAACTTGACACTGTCAACATTTGGGACCTGATGATTTTTTGTTGATGCTGTCCTGTACATTGCAGGATGTTTAACTGACCTCTCCCCACTAGATACTATTTGTAACACTCTGCCTGATCCCAGTCATGAAAATCGAATTTTTGTCCCCTAGAGAGATCGTAAGGGTATATTTTTGTAAAATTAGGAGCAAATCCTCTTCTTTGCATGCATGTCAATCTGTGCCTTTTTTGTCCCATACCTCCCCATACTATCGTCTGGTTGTTGGGACAGTTCTCAATTCCATATTACCTTGCTGTCTGCAATCTTGCCTTCAGAAGACAACTTTCTCAACTTCTTATTTGACAGTAATTTCCCCAGTGGGGAGGACATTGGGAGGTCATCTTTTAGTAATGGACTTAAAATTGTGCAGAGATACCAAAAGTGATTCAAGCAAGGAAATGGTTGAAGTCACTTGAGTTAAGGTGTGTTTGTTTCAATTGTTGCCTCCCCAACAGAATATTAGCCTTTTATTGTTATAGCTGTTCTTTAATAAACACTAATAACCAGTACATTGTGTGTGCTTTCCTATGCTAGGTAATTCCCATTAACTGGATCCTCCCAGCAGCTTTTGAAATAGATACTGTTACCTTGTTTCAGTTAGGAAATTGAAGAACAAAGAGGTTAAGTAGGTTGCCCAGAGATACAGCAAATAAGTGTAAGAGCGGAGACTCAAACCCAGGCAGTCTGACTTAAGAGCCCTTGCGCTAACCATTACCCAGTATTGCCCTCCTGTCTCCACTGCTTGTTTTTTTTTTTTAAGCTTTATTGTATGATTGACATATAATTAAGTCATTTTATTCACTTCTGCAAAAGGTTTTGCTGGGATTTTGATTGGATTGCTTTTAATGTATAGATGAATTGGGGAGAATTGACATCTTAATAATATTTTTCAGTCAGTGAATACTACATCTCTGTGTATTAGGTATTCTTTCATTTGTCATTATTTTATAGTTTTCAGCATGCATATCTTGGGTATATTTTTAGATTTATACCTAAATATTTCATGATTTTTTGTGCTATTGTAAATGGTACTGTTTTTGAAAATTTATTAAAATTGTATTTGTATCATAGAAAATATTACTATTAGAAATTTCAGTTACCAACAATTAATTTTTTTTCTTTTTTGTACCTTGACTTTAATTCTGTGACCTTGCTAAACTCACTTGTTAGCTCTAGGAAATTTTGTAGATTCTTTGGGATTTTCTTTTCTTTCTTTCTTTCTTTATTTGACAGAGAGAGGGAGAGACAACACAAGCAGGGGCAACTGCAGGTGGAGTTAGAGGGAGAAACAGACTCCGCACTGGCAGTGATCCCCACATGGGACTCGATCCCAGGACCCTGGGATCATGACCTAAGCTGAAGGCAGATTCTTTTTTAAATTTATTTTTATTTTTATTTTTTTAATTTTTTCAGTGTTCCAAGATTCATTGTTTATGTACCACACCCAGGACTCCATGCAGTAGGTGCCCTCAATACCCACCACCAGTCTCACCCACCCACCCACCCCCTTCCCCTCTAAAACCCTTGAAGGCAGACTCTTAACCAACTGAGCCACCCAGGTGCCCTGGGATTTTCTGGGTAGACAGTTATGTCCTCTTGCAGATAGTAACAGTTTTATTTCTTCCTTTCCAATCTGTATGCCCTTTCTTTTCTGGCCTTCCTTGTACTTGTTAGTACAGTGTTGAATAGTAGTGGTAAGAGCAGACATACCTGCCTTGTACCCAATCTTGGAAGGAAGGCATTCTTTTTTTTTTTTAAGATTTTATTTTTTTTAATTTATTTGACAGAGAGCAATCACAGTAGAGAGAGAGAGAGAGGAGGAAGCAGGCTCCCTGCCTAGCAGAGAGCCCAATGCGGGACTCGATCCCAGGACCCTGACTGAGATCATGACCTGAGCTGAAGGCAGAAGCTTAACCCACTGAGCCACCCAGGCAGCCATGGAAGGCATTCTTTCTATCACCATTCAGTATATTTTCAGCTGCAAGGAAACAATCCATACTAAATCCTATGTCTTTGTAGCCACTGCAATAAAACATTGAGTTTTAACAGTGCCTTTTTGGGCAGCCAAGTTTTGTGTGTGAAACTTAAGTTCCACTATAACTTCAGTCCATTTGTGGCCAGGCTTTTCAGAGAGCTGGGAGAGAAGTTGATATTTCCCCCACCACTTTAAAGTCAGGAATAACAGCAAATGTGTCATGATCATATGCTATATTCTGGGTCCCCCGACTTACAGTGCTCTTAGTCTAAATTTAAGTTAGATAACATAGGAGTTAGAGGGAGAGCCGGGTATTCAGGCCATGAAGTGACCAAGACAGGAAGTGGCCTCTATTGGAATCTGAGGAGTGGCCAAGGCTTTAAGATAATTATGTTTGATGGTAGATACCACAATAGACCTGGGTATGAGTATACATTTTCTTGTAGGTGGTACAATAGAACAGTACCAGTTAGCTATTTATTAATCCTGAAGACTCAACTGGAATACCGTGTGGGCAGCTGGGAGTGGAAATTACTCATCATTTAAGCAAAAAGGATTTCAGGTGGCTAGCTTCTCCCCATTCTAATGATCCTAAGGACATTGGATTAGAGTCTTGGACAGGGAAACCCAGATTGCAAAATCCTACTGAGTTTCTCTCTAAATATCAAGAGTAGTATGCACTCTGGTTCATAAAATGTGACTATGCAGGAAATAAGTAACACTGCTTAAGTTCTAATTCTTCCCCATAAGTCACCTGTGACAGTAATTGTTCACCTGCCATTCACCTGTGACAGTAATCTTGTTAAATTTACTAAATAATTTGAAGGAAAAAAAGACTTGCATAAAAATCAATACAATGTCATGGAGAAACAGGGCACCTAAGTTCAAGCCTTGGTAGGACACATCTGCTAATGCTCATGGCCAGGGTTGAAAGATGGCGTAATATGTAGTTTGTCCAAAGCACTTCAGAGTACAACTCAAATCACACTGTCTCTCTGCTTGGAGTGGTCATTTATCAGAGATAGTTGAGACATTTCTCCTCATTGGGGTAGTCTTTTGTTGTTGTTGTTGAGTTTGTGCAGATTAAAAGTATAGCAACCCTCTTCCCCAAGCAAAAAAATCAAGCTCTTCCCGAGTCTTGCCACTCAGTAAACACATAGGTTTCCATTATTCTAAAGACTAATAAAATTACCAACAATAAAGACTTTGTTTGTTTTGTGTCCAGATTTAATGGACATTATATGAGTAAATGCCCAAAATAGGCAAGTCTGTAGATCTGAAAGTAGATCAGTAGTTGTTTGGGAATGGAGGAAAGCTTCACATGGGGGTTGTATTAATTTTCTGTTTGCTGCTGTAACAAATTACCATGAACAGTGACTTAACACACACTCTATGTGTTTATTAATTTATCTTATAGTTCTAGAAGTCAGAAGTCCAAAATGGGTTTCACTGGGCTAAATTCCAAGTGTTGGCTAAGGAAGGACTATTTTCTTGCCTTTTGTAGTTTCTAGAGGCCACTTTTCTTGGTTTGTGGCTCTTTTCCTCTAGCTTCAAAGCCAGCAATGTTGGGACAAGTTTCTCTCAATCTGTTACCTCTGTGGTTCCAGTGACCTCTTCCAGTGATCTCTCCACTTTTAAGGACTCTTATGAGTATACTGGGCCCATCTAGATAATCCAGGATAATCTTATTTTCAAATCAGCTGATAAGCAATTTAATTCCATCTGCAACCTTAATGTTTCTTTGTTATATAACCTAACATACAGGTTCCAGACATGTTTGAGGGGACATTACTCTGCCTATCACAGGGAAGATGGAAAGTGAGTGCTAGTGCTGACGGTTACAGGGTTTAGTTTTGGGAACGATGAAACTGTTCTAAAACTGATTGTGGTGATGGTTGTGCAATTCTTTTAATATGCCAAAAACTACTAAGTTGTATACATTAGTGTGGGATATGAATTACATTTTAATAAAGCGTGTGTGTGTGTGTTTTCAGTATTTCTAGAACCAATTTCTGTAATCTTCCTGCCTGAGTCCAGCTCCTCTTCCTGAATTCCTGAATTACCTGAGTCTTAGTTAATGACACCTTCATCTATCACGTCACCCAAACTTTATGGCTAGAATAGATTGCTCCCTTTCCTCATATCTGTTATTTGATCTTTTTAAAAAAAAATCTCCACTGTTTTCACTTCCTAAATAGTTCTAAAATAGTATCCCTTCTCAATCCTGGTCTTTCTTAATGTGACTGGATCTTTACCCCTGAGCACAGGGGTATTTTTTTTGCCTAACTGTCTCTTTGGCATTGTCATGACATCTGTGGACCACTCTAAAACTAGTTAATTAAAATACAGTTAAATGGCTTTAAAAAAAAATCTGGGATACATTAGTATATGTGTGCCTTTACCACTGTGGTGAAATGAAATGACAAAATCTAAAGGTGAGCCCTAATAACAACGATGACAATTTCAAATTAGGGATGAGAATAGTTTATATTTTGAGATACCTGCATTAACTGTGATATGATATGAAAATATCTGTGATTTCTATTGGTGACAAAGTCACAGGTACTGCTGATAGTAATGTGGTATGTTGCCAGTACGTAATTGAAGGAAATGCTAAATTTCGGTTAGAGATCAGCGAAAACAACAGTCAACTTTCTCCGCCATTCAAGGTCTCCGAGGACCGCAGGTTAAGAAGCCCCCGCCCCCCGGGGCCCGAAGCCTGGGGACAACCGAGCGGCGCGCTCCGGCGTCCTAGAGAGGAGCTCGTGAGTCTCGGGCGACGGGGCCCGGCAGGGACGCGCTTCCGGTCACGCTGCACACTGCTCCTTTTCTGAGGTGAGTGGTGGGCTTTGTCGCCGGGCATCTCTGCTAGGGACGCACCCTTCGCCCTTGGAGGAGGCTGCCTCCTGCGTCCCGGAAACCGTGTCGGAGGGAGGCGGAGGCTGGCTACCTGCCGGCCAGTGCTGCCTTCCCTTGGGTGGCTTCGCTCGCCCCAGCCCACAGCTGCCGCTTTGGGACGAAGAGCTGTGGACGGAAAGTAGGCGCTCTGTGTGCGCGACACAGCTCGCCCTGCCCTTTGGCCCCGCCACTACCTACCGAGCCGCTGCCTGGCAGCTGCGGCTCCAAGTTCCAGGCATGCGGCTGGAAAGGAGCCAAGCGTGGGCCCCACCCTCCGGGAGCTTTCAGTTTAGTGGGAAAGTCACATAGTCATCAAACGTGATCGATTGACGCCACCTGCTTGCAACCCGGTGGCCTGTTGCTTTCCGGCTAAAGACCCAACTCCTTAACTTGTGCACAGGTCCCTGCATGGCTCCATCTTCTACAGCTGTACACTGTCGTTTTGCAGCACACTCTTCTTTGGCCATGCTACAGCCTTCTTGGCTTTTCGCCTCCAGAACATGCGTTTTTAACTTAGTTAATTCCTATCCCTAAGTCTTCCCATCTATGATAGGTTTCCCTGGCACAAGTCACAGTTGTGATCTTTGTTATTTATGAGTATCTTTGATTTGTATGTATCCTTCTTTTAGTCAAGACAAAGCTTCATGACAGAAGGTCACACCCGTTTTTCCTCTCTCCACTGTATCTCACACTTGGCCTGGAGTGAATGAAGTATACGATAAATGTTTGTTGAGTGAAGAAAGCACAAATTAATGCAAATGTATAATCTCAAACTGGGAGAGGTGGTATACAGTAAAGGGAACACGGTATGAGTGGAGATTCTAATGTGAGAAGCTAACCTGGTTTGTAGAGCACAATCTGAGGGATGATCTAGTATTATCTAGGTGAGCTAGGGTCAGGCTGCTGGAGAGTATTGTAGGCAGACCGTATCAGTTACAAAGGTCCTAAGTTGGAGAAGAGTATTCATACAGAGGCAATAGCGGGTACAAAGGCCCTGAATTAGCAGAGTAGAGGGAACTGAAGGAAGGCCAGAGTGGCTAAACAAAGGAGGGGGTGGCACAAGATGAGGCCAGCAGGAAATGACAGCATGCAGTGAGGTTAGGGAGGATAGTGGCTTTGGGGCAGAATATGACTGCTTAGTAAGAATACGAAGTGTCGGGGCACTTGGGTGGCTAAATTGTTAAGCATCTGCCTTTGGTTCATATCCTGATCCCAGGACCCTGGGAACTAGCCCCCTCTTCAGGCTCCTTGCTCAGCAGGAAGCCTGCTTCGCGCTCTCCCGCTCCCCCTGCTGGTGGTTCTGCAGAGTCTTTCTCTGTCAAATGAATAAGTAAAATCTTAAAAAAAAAAAAAACAACAAACAAAGTGTCTGTAGGGGATGATATAGTTAAAGTAATAACCTAGCATTTTGGCATGGTGAGGTGGCCTTTCATGGTCCTTTGCTAATCAGTCACCACTGGGTCCTAGAATGGAGTGGTGAACAAAAAGAAAAGAAAGACTTACTCTGCGATTCTTTTCTCTCGATTTTCTTGGTGACTATTCCATATTAACATCAGAATCACTGTATCAGGCTCTAAAAGATCCTTTTGGGATTATTACTGGAAGTGATCTAGTGTAGTTAACTGAAAATGTGACATTTGGAATATGGTACATCTGGTTGGAATCCAGGTTCATCTACCACCTTGTGACCTTGGTAAAGAAAATTATTCTCATAGCCTTGTTTTCTCATTTGGGAAAAAGAAAATTCAGAGCATTAAAGTGGAGACTGAATGAATTTTACATCCAATAACTTTTTTTTCCTTTTTAGGTTTCTCTGTAAAAGTTTTGAGTTTTTAAAAATTTTTATTTATTTATTTGTTTGACAGAGCACAAGAGTGCAAGCAGGGGGAGGATTGGAGGGAGAGGGACAAGCAGACTTTGCATGGAGGGGTGGGGGGGGGTATTCAACGTGGGAGTGGATCCATGATCCCTAGATCCTGACCTGAGCTGAAATCAAGAGTTGGATGCTTAACAGACTGAGCCACCCAGGCTCAGTTTATTTTTTAAAAATAAAGGCCTGGGTTTCCTCATCTTAGGTTTTGCTCTTTGGTCTTTGCTTGTTTTGCTCTTTGTGTACTCCTGTTCCCCCTTTACTTACATCTTACCCAGGCCAGGCAGAATGACTTGATGGTGGTACAGGCTCCGGTGCCTGAGGGCAAGTTACTTAATCTTTCAAAATCTATTTCTTCCGAAGTCACACTTCATTTTATGGAGTGGGGTGAAGGAAGAAATACATGCCACTTCTCCAATGGGCATTGGATAAATGATGGCTGCTGTTGTTATTGGCCACAGGTTTGTTGGTTTAAAGGAGAGCCTTTGACTGGGCCAAGCTCACTCATGGTTCTCTTTGCTTCTTCCCCTCAGCCCCTGCCCTTCACCGAGAGGGAGCCCAGGTGATGGCAGCCATGCCCCTGAACGCCTGGCACCAGGTGAGCTCTGACTCCCTCAGGTTAGCCTTCAGAGATCTAATCTGAAAGAAATGGGGCACGAGAGGGATAATTCTGGCAAGACTCTTAGAACCAAAAGATGCAGGAAGGCATCTTTTCTTTCTCTCCTGTAGGACTGGATGTTGGGGAGAAAGTTGATGGTAAGGGGCTGAGCAGCCAGAAGCCCGGCAAACACTGGCTGGAGGAAGTGTCCAGGGAATCAGTGGTCTCCTGTTCTCTAGCTCTCTGCTGAACTGAAGAGCGCCCAGGTTCAGTAGGGACCCCCATGGAGGGATCTCTGAGAATGAAGGACTCAGGTTGGTGGTATAAGTATCCAGTGTTTGGTGGAAGTGATCGAGATCAGTGAAGTTTCAAGGTTCTTAGGAGGTGGGGGCAGAGGGCAGGCAGGAAGAAGACAAGAAAAAGTGGCTCCTAGCCTTTGTCCTCTTAAAGAAGTTTGGCTTCATAACCAGGGAAAATATATCATCCTCAATGTCACTGCTGCTGGCTAAGGTGAGGCACCAGCAGGCTGTGATGGGGGAAATCTTCTGCGCTAGGATGGGACACCTGAATTTAGGGATCCCATCAGGACTCTGTGAGTCTTGAGTCAACCAGTTGAACTCTGTATTCTGATGGACTTTCATCTGTAAAGTGAGCATTAAGTACTTTACATTTGTGGAACTGGGAAATTGATTTCTTGAGTTGTAGTTCACTTTTTAACTGGGGAGTTGCTAGGTTTTGATTATCATTTCCTCTTCTCGGGACTTATTTATCCAGTAACTTAACATCCATGAACCATATCCCAAGTCCCAGTCCTGGATTTCTGACATCTTGTAGGTCCCTCTCCCTCACTTTAATCGATGCAGTATCTTCCCGATAGCTTCCACCCTCTTCTCATCTTCTGTAAGTGCTGGTGAGTCACTGGCACCACCATAGCACACAGTCCTCATTGTTTCCAGATTGTTGACTCATTCTCCTTTGATACCACTTCTAGAGAGGCACCAAGTCCCAACTCCTCCTGCCTGCTATCTCTTTCACTTGTTCCATATTTTATATTGCCATCATTCATGGTTTATCATTCCTTTTCTGGGATTTTTGTTGGCAGATCATTCCAGCTAGTTGCTCTGTGTACAGTCTCATGCCTTCCTCTCACTACTTATCACCTGATGAAGCTCAGTGTCCTGAGCTTTGATTTTATCCTCTAGTCCAGGGTTCTCAAACTTTAGTGTGCTCCAGAATCATCTGGAGGGCTCATTAAAGCAGAAATTGCTTTCAGGTGGGGCATACCAGTTTGCTTTCCAAAGGTTTTCAGATTCTGCTTCTGTTCCTCCTCCTCCTCCTTTCCTCTTCTTCCCCCTCCTTCTCTCCCCCACCTCCCCAGTCCTATTCCTTCTCCTGGTCTTCCTCCTGCTGCTGCTTCTGCTCTGGGGAACCACACTCTAAGAACCACTGTTGTAGTTAGTGCTGACTCATTAAGTCATTGAGTTTAGCGGGTCATGTTGTCATTTTAAAATAGATCATTGTATGTGCTGGCTGAGGATGGATTCAATGCAGGACAGCCTGGAACTGGAGCTGTTTAAGTGTCGCCGGCTGTTGAGCTAGGGTACTGATTGTATGATGGTGTAGAAGAGTCAGATTCTGGAAATATTTGGGCAATGAAACTGGCAGGATCTGATTACCAGCTGCATATGAGAAATGGGGAGTGACTGGAGTGAGTTAATCTCGGGTAAATTTCAGGTTGTTGTGTAGGTGTCCGGGCTGAAATTGGTACTGTTAACTGAGGGAAACAATATTGTCGCTCATTGTGCCGATTAGTTTATATGAGTTAGAAAAGCCAGTTTTGGTTGGAAGATAAATTTGGTGTAGTTGATGGGTCAGGCATATTAGGTCACCAGGGAGTGCTGGAACTAGTGGAAGATGGGGATCTGCAGAATCAGTTGAGGCATTAGAAAGAGGATATTCATTGCATGTTCAGGTAACCAGGTTGATACTAAAGTCTAAGGAGTAGGTAGAGGGTCTAAACCAGATGCTGGCACTTTCCGGGGAGGTAGAGCTGGGGCCGTCAGAGAAGGGAAAGGAGGGGCTGTTGAAAAATCTCGAGACTTGGTTGGTAGAAGCAACTGTAGATTGTCCTGGAGGTATAAAGAAAAGCCCCTAAAAGAGCTGTCCAGCAGCAATTTGATTCCAAAGGCAGATTCTCCCAGGAAGACCCATCAGGAAGTCCATCAGAATAGACTGCCCCAGGCGGCACGAAGATCTCTGCTAGATGTTCTTAAGCACAGGCAGTATAGCTCTTCAAACACAGATCGGGATTGGATGAGACAGGCTCATCAGAGCAGACCATGATGCTCTTCTTGTGAAGGTGGGCTTGAGATTTGGGGCAGAATGAGCACTTGTGGGCGCCTGGGTGACTTAGTTCGTTAAGCAACTGCTTTTGTCTCAGGTCATGATCCCAGAGTCCCGGGATTGAGTCCCGCATTGGGCTTCCAGCTCCACGGGGAGTCTGCTTCTCTCTCTGAGCTTCTCCCCTCTCGTGCTCTCTCTCACTGTCTCTCTCTCAATAAATAAATAAAATCTTAAAAAAAAATTTAAAAAAAGAATGAACATTTGTCAGGTACAGATGGATTGATTACCTGGGCACTGAGGCAGTGAAGGGGGAACAGGTAGGTCCTGACATGCTACCTGTGAGTGGGAGTCTAGATCGATTGAAGCTAATGTCCATTCATAGGTGTAACAACAAAATATTAGAAGTATTTATAAAATCAAAGAATTTGCTTTGGGAAATTTAATTAATGGGAGATTATCTAAGGTTTTTGAATGTTACCATGTTATGAAATATTATAT